ACACTGCTCCAGCTTATTCCGCACCTGCCCGTACGCAAACACATTCTCATCCGGCACGAATTTCTCCGGATACACATTCTCCAGATACCAGCGGAATGATTTACACCGCAACTTCTGACGCAGCTGCGTGCGATGCGTGTAATCACCCACAATTGGATTATGCTCCAGTGTGGGCTGATGCATGAAAAACAATCGCTTATACCCATCCATCCATACATGCGCCAATCTCGCCGTGTTTATGCCATGCGTGTCTTTATTATCCGGAAAAGTATACGGATGGAAATCGCGGAAGATGTGCCCAACGCGTGAACACGGCACGGTTTCCAGGCGTCCACCACACTGCCAGATACGAAACGACATCTCGAGATTCTCACCGCCCCAGCCATCCATCTGCTCATCATACGAACCAACCTCCCAGAAGTATTTACGATCTATAGCGAATAATCCACCCGCCATTGTGGGGGATTTCACTGGTGCTAAAGTCTTCTTATCAGCTTCATTCTGAATGTCTATCCAGGTAAAGTGGCCGGACCAGGTAAACCCGCCGACTTGATATGTCTCACCGTTGGTTGCATACGCTAGATTATCAGCCTCAATGACATCTATGATTGGCACCAGGACAGCCGTGCGTTCGGCTTCAATACGGCTGAGTAATGGCTCCATCCACTCCTTGGTGGCTTCGCAATGCGCGTCGAGAAAGACTAGGACATCACCGGTGGCTGCGCGTGCGCCGTGCAGCCTCGCACGGATTAAACCCATGCGGTTTTGGAGCGGCAGCAGCTTCACATCGTGATTCTTCAGCCTGGTTGCTATGTAATGACTTAACCATTCATTCAAATCACCTAAAATGAATTTTTTAGTCTTTTTTGTTTTTAAAAAGTAAGTTTTTCTAAGTTTTTTACCTTCTGTTGATGCATCATTAACTAAGATTATTTCTTTGAGCAAATGCGCGGGGGTTTGCAAAATAACACTCCAGACAGTCCTCAGAATAACACTGAGTAATTCATTGTAGAATATTATAATGACACTTGCATTTATGTTTGGATCATAATGAAATTCTTTGCATCCCTTGTGTCTAGGGTCCCGTAGACTTCGATTCAGCGGCATGCGATCACTTAAGACTGTATTCAACGCTACAGATTTCAACGCAGCGGCTCCTTTCTCTTTATCCGGACCTTTGAGATACGCTGGTTCACCATCGTCGCCTAGATGTGGTATGACTCCGGCTTCCCACGCGCGTATCTTCTCCTCCATGCTCTTCTGGCTGCCATCGAGCGCTGCGCTTTTAAATTCGGCTTTGTTTGCTTGCTTGCTGAATTGTTCCAAGTAGCGCAGTTGTTTGAGGTAGATCACGAGGATGATAAGTACGACGGCGGCGGCGGCCAGCCGCAGGAGTGGTTTTCGTGGGCGCAGGAAGCGCACGAGTCTGGTGATCATCGTCAGCGTGCAGAGAATACCTCCATCGATG